CTTTGTTATATAGATGATCTATCTCAAGAAATATTCTTAACACACATTCAACATACTGCAAGTTCCCCATGAAGAGCAAGTGTGATGCAACTAAAAGTAATACTTAACTATGCTGTGAAAATAGTAATGCCATATGTATATATTCCATTATTTACAAGGAAGGGTACTGTTTTTGAAAACCTTTTCTCACAAACTAATAGCTGAATATCAAGAGCAGAATGTTTGTTCTTAATCAAAATTTCCAGCTCCACTTTAAAAAGAAAGTATTTTATACAGCTTGAAGAGTAGTTTGCAGTATACATTTAAAATGCATATTCTGTACTTAGAATGACAGGATGATATTCCATAACTGCACCAGTAAATATTGACTGCTGTTTTATGCATGAAATCAACTAACTTTCAAATTCTGATTAAGCAGGGGAGAGCTAAGACTAGAAGTTCTTGCTGAACTTTACAACAAATTATTATATTCTCCAGCAAACATGCATAGAGAACCAGTAGCCATTGTTTTATGTAGAACAGGTCAGAAATCTATGCCCTTCAGGAATGACATTCCTCTGACAATTCATAGAAGCATATTTGGTGAACAGGTAAACTTTTTTCTTCCTAAAGAAAGAATTCCAAAATAAGTAAACAATATTTTTAACATCAATTATTTGTTCAGAAATTCTCCAGAGACTATAAAAATCTCTATAAAAATAAAATCCAACCACAGTGCTGTTATTTTGAGATCTTTTACAAGATAAATATAGCAAGGTAGGGTGTGGTTTTTAAGGTTAAAATGTTTCTACTGCTGCAGTCACAAACAGTGGAAAATGAAATGTTTTGCTGAAAACCATAAATGAAATATTTAGCTTACAATTTGTAAAATCTGTGTTAGGGCACCATATTCCTTTGGTCTCTTGATGGACTATTCAGTTCTAACCAGTAGTATCTCTGATAAAGAATATCTGCTGGTGAGATATATAGTTGTCTTCCGAAGGGAGTTTGTTTTTTCAGTTCATATACCAGTAAGCTGGCAACAACCTGCATGATGATAACCTTTCTGTTAGCCACAGTACAAATGCCAATAAGTGAATAAACTTGGAAATTCTATTATTTTGTCATGTGGTCTTTTTCATCCTGATTTCTGGTCCTGAATAGAACTTGCAAGTGGTTTTCCATAATTGACTTTTTTTTTTTTTCACTTATCAGATGAAATTTGTTTCTTAGGTATAGCCAGACCAATCCTATATGTTTATGTAGACACTTCATTACATTCTGAATGATATCATTTTAAATACATTCAATAGTAACAGAGAATATTTTTCTAGCTGGAAAAAACAAGCAAATTTGCTTTTTCTACTCTATGGGTTGGTCTAAAAATAAAAATTAAGGTCATTTTCAGGGCTGTTATTATTTCATGTTAAAAATGTCATACTTCTTCCATCCTGGTACTATCACAGATACAATTACCCAGAACAATAATGCATTTTAGTAACTGTGTTTTGATTGTGATAAATTTAAATGGTCTGCATTGTATTTTATTTCTACAATTCTTAATACATTCATTAATCTATCATTTTGAGTGAACTACATTCTTACATTTAGTGAGGATATCAAGGTAGCTTAATAATTACCATTCAGTTAAAACCATTATGCATTTGATAATGTTATGTTAAATTTTTTATCCTGCTTTCAAATCCTGAGTGGTATGGTTGCCACTACTTAATTCCTTTAAAAATAATAATAATAATAATTTTGAAGGCTGGGATACCACATTGTATTTTGATATATCTATTTTTTGAATACTTTCTGTATAGGTCCATGCATCAGGCTTGTTCCTTCTAAAGTAATTATCATATTATTACGTCTTTTATTGTTGATTTAGTTAATTATTTCAGTATCATTACCCAGTATTGAACTCGGTATCATTCATTTAAATTGAAGTTCTACTGGGTTAGGATTTCTAATAATGTATAGTAAATATATCAAAATATTTATTGGTAAGTTGAGCAAATATTACAAAAACTGCTTATACTCACAGCAGCCATTTAATATTGCAGAACTCAACAAGCATTCAGAACTCCACATGTCATTTAGCAGAGTAAAAATGCATTCTCTCTCAGGAAGAGTTCATGAAGATTCTATTCAGTAAGGTTTAAGAGGCAGACCGTATAGTTCATAGTCAATACTTAATGGTTTGGAGGAAAGAGCATTGCTGAATCACTGTCTACTTGTAGGCAGTAGCTGTAATACTTATGAAACTTGAGAAGACTTTTTCATGTGGTGTTTTAAATGTCCTAGTGTGTAAGAGAAGGAAAATTAAACTCAGTGTTTAAATACCTGGTCTAAATGAGAGACATATGTTACATTTCTCTTGATCATGTATTCCATATCCCATTAAAAAAAAAAAAAAAAAAAAAAAGTGCAAATATACAAGAAAAATAACATATTTCTTACATTAAAAATGATAAAAATTTTGTTAATATAACAGAAACATTATGTCTGCTTCTTTAAATACAGACATACTAAATCTACGGGGGGACTATTTCACCCATGTTTTGAGGTTATTTAGTTTTGCTTTCCTTTGTAAAACTGGTAGCTACATAAATTAAATCTGTCTTGCGGAAACCTTCTTTCATATGCTTAACACATTCTTAAATGCTGTTCTATCACTCTCTCTTTTTCATCCAATTACAATTTGTGATCATATCATTCTTACTTTTAGACTGATATTTAACATATATTTCTGTGGCATTGCTAGAGCATAAAATTTCCACTTCCCACACACAAGAACACAATGACAGTATTGGAAGTGACTGTGTATCTCATTTGCTCCATGATGATGAGCAGTAGCTTTCTCAAACTTATTTTTTACGAGAACACATACTTAAATTTAAAACACTCATAATTCACATTCTATCATGTCAGAAGCACTACAGTTTACTGAGATCCTCATCTGCTTTGTGTGGTAGTGATAAGTACTGATAATGAGCTTACTGAAGGTTCCATTTGCTAACATTTACTTTTGTCGAACCGGAATTGAAACTTCATTTCTGACTCAATGTACTGAAGTAGGCCTCCTTAAACTGAAGTATTTCTTAAAGTCAAGGTAACTGTTAGCACTACCTTCCAAAACTAAGGACTGGTAAAATTAATCTTTTAACCCAGTTCTGTATTCACTGAAATGCTGCTCATACATTGCAAGTAATATGAGGCATTATTCAATACAAGCAGTTTATGCTTTTGAAAAAAAAAAAAAGCTCCATCTTCAAAATAGGCACCAAATGCATACTGGAGTATGTATTTGAATCTAAACTCATTTATTTCATAAAAAATCTGAATATTCACTTACTGTTTATTTTTATAACACAAAATATTTTTATAACACAGTTTGTGTTATAAAAGATGCAGAACTGAAAAAAAAAAAAAAAGCAAAAAAAAAAAAAAAGCATATGTCTATAATGTCTAAAAGGGGGTATGTATTATTCCAACTGTTGTAGTCACTCATTTTCTCTTATTTCCTTGATGTGTTAAGTTCAGTCTGAAACGTGAAGACACAAGAAAAGAAACTTCTGAAAAATTTGTCTCTGTATGCTCTTAATGATGTTTGCTGGTTTAAACAACAATTTTAAACAAGAATTTTAATGACTTAAATGATATGGTTAAGGAGACGCTTAAGGTTTCTGCTTACTTTGAGAACTGTGTTTTAATACACCATAGTTTCATAAAACCATGGAAAGCAATGAGGTTGTATGGATAACATGAGAACACCATCTCAGTGATAAGAATGAGACATCAGTAACTTCTAGAATTTGCCATGAATACTGTTCTTTCTGCAATTGCCACTATATAGTTATGTTTTCATCAGTGTGCTCAACATAGTGCTAAAGCTGAATGGCAGTGCTGTTTTAAGTGTTCTTTTGGGAAACATCTTATGTAACCCAGTGCAAGTGTAATTTATAGTAATGTATCACCATTGAAGTTAATTTTTCATCAGACACTTCTAGTGACTAGTCAGAAAGCTCATACCATGGAAAGACAGACTTTATTATTACAAGTTTTGAGATGATCAAGTTGCTATGTGAAATGACCTTTTTTTTTTTTTTTTAACTTTTCATTTTCTTTTTCATAGGATATTAAAATCTTTCTCCAGAGAGCTGAACAAGCACAGTCAATTGATGAGAAAACCACAACATACAAAGATATCGATGCATGAAAAATTGTGGTTCGTGAAAGCATATATTTTGTTATGCATGTAAGAAATGGGTGCTAGATCTCCACTCCTCCCTTCCACGGGAAAGATTTATTCATTTAACGTTGAATGAAACAGATTTTGTAGTAATTTTACATTTATTTGTTACTTTAAACTAATAATAATAATAATTTAAAAGCAACATACAAAACCAGAGAAAGAATATTATTAGTTCATTTTAAACAATCTGGTGGAATTTCTGAATAAACAAAAGCTGGTTTCTGAACTTGAATAGAGCTGTTTGTGTTCATTAATAGGTGGTAGAAGAATAGAGTAAATCAAGGTTTTTTAAACAACTTAAGACATCTGGTCAAATTTTGTTAATGTTTATAAGATATTAAATAAATTTGTTTTAATTTTTTTTTTTAATGATGCAGTTCATAGCTAATAAAATAAGTAAATGAAAACATGATCAGTATAAGGTCAGTATAAGCTACCAAAACAACATGATATACATGAAAAAGTAGTGCTTGTTAATAGCAGAGATGATGAATCTTTGTTATCCAACCTTTGTTTTCCTAACTTTCCATCACAGCCGAGCTTTGTTGCCACCCACTAAAATTCCACAGGCTCTTTGTGCAGTGCAGCACCACATGTAGCCCAGGGGGCTGGGTATCATAGGCTGCTGCCTCCTCCCCCCCGGGCCCAGTAACCTCTCCTCCCATCTTGTTGCAGAAGCGGTAAAGTAGGGGCTGTACCATTTGTGGTTCCACTGCTAATTCTGTACATAAGTTTGCTAGTCACTGTAATTTATTTTGGGGATCCACATAATTGTTTTCAGTAATCGGTCATAATTCATTTTTGAATCAGCATAGTGTGGTAAGGGGCACTGCATACACCAGCCACAAATTGCAGGTCTCCTTGTATGATAGGTGTTTGTCTAAAAATGTGTATGGCACTTGATGACACCTATCAGCTGCTGCATTATTTGGCAGATTAAACAGTGTTGGTGAAACTCACCTTATTTACTTCTGAAGTTGTTGTTTCTTTTTCTACATCCACTGTGACTTTTTTGGCTCTCCTGGAGGTTGTTCTGGAGTTTCTTTCATAGAAATGTGCTTTTTAACAGGAATTTTTTGTTTCCTTGCAGTTTTATTCAACCTTTTCATTCTCTTGTTCCTAATGATGGCGATAAATAAGATATTGGGAACTGTATATTTTCACAAAACTTTTTCATATAAATCTTAGAATACTTTTTGTTTCTATTTAGTTCCTCTGGAGTTCAACACTGAAATGTCTAATATCTCCTCGGCTTTCAATAGTAACCATTCTTCTGATCTACGGTTTCAAGTTGTTGGAAGACTGGACATGGCAAGAATGTATTTGTAATTATCAAAGCTCAATATAACTTCCAATTTGCAATTTGACAACTGCCCAAGCTGTTAGCAAACCTTGTGCACTCTATGTGTTACTAGCTTAGAAACATAATTAATAAGTAAATACTTCCAAGACATCTGCCTACTCATACCTGAACACTGCTCTGTCATTCTGGGGTATTTTTTCTGCATTTTGGCAGTACCCTGGTAACAATCACACAAAGCATTTAAAGCTTCCTTTCTCTGGTTTGATTCAGCAAAGCACTCAAACATATGGTGCTCTCTAAGAATACAAATAGTCCCATTGAAGTCAGCTAGCTCATAGGGAACCACAAACCTTTGTTGAGAAGTGCTCCCTGCACAGAATATTTTTACATTTTTAATGTATCTTTGTAACTTTTTAGTCAAGTTTGCTTGACACAGTATAGCACTCGCACCACATTTTCTGATGTTCCTAATGAGGATTTTAAATTGCCTGCTTGAGCTATAAAACAATTATGTATCAAAAAAAGGAATAGCAGCATGCAAAACAGAAAGGCTGGCATAGTTATAGCCAGTCAATACCTAGCAGACCAAGATGTACAATAAATTCTTTTTTTCTGTAATGATTAAAATTATAAATATTTTGTGAGATTTTTAAAACTTCTTGGTGTTAATAATGGCAGGCTCTTTTCTTAGTTGATTTCAGATAGTCAAATATTGAAAGAAAAGTTGGTAGACTAGCACAGCAGATCAAAGCATTTATACATGATATACAAATTCAAAATAGAACCCAATAAGCTTATCACTTCAGGCAAATAATGTTGTGTCTCTGCAGTCTACATGTTTTGTGCTAACCACACCGGCACATTGTAGCTAAGTACTATCTTAGAAACAGATATAACCCTGTTGTGCCCCCGCAAACCATGCTAAAACCTCAACATCCTCGTTTTACTTATGACAACAGACTATACGATGCATACAAATTAATCTGCTTTGTTACCAGAATAATTTCTTCTTACAGCACGTACAACTCAGTCAAAATTTCATTGTATTTCATCCCCTATATTCTTGAGACATTGCATATGTATACTCATGAAAGACTAAGTCTTTTTCTTACTACAAGGATATTAAAAATTACAGCACAGTTCTCTTTTGGAAACTTTACATTTTTTTCTTTTTTTTTTTTTTTCCATGTTTAGTTTCTTTAGTAAAAGCCACCTTTAATCACTAGGTGTTGAATTCTAACTTTACATACTGACCTTCTCTGTGGGAAATTAGAAAGGTATTCTCAGAAAGGTTCTCCTATGATCTGTAAACCCCAATGAGGTAAAAGGGAACTTCAGCTACTGAAAATCGTAAATCGCTGTTTTAGGTAGGATTCTTAAATTCTTGCTCCTTTTTCATGCAGTATATGTTTTATCAATGTCCTGGAATCAAACAAAATCATTACTGATAAAGTTTGAGAATAAGCATAAATTCTGAATTTACGCTGAATAATAAAAAGTGAGATGGATTGTACGGTGAATTATGAAATAGTACATGTGAAAGACAGTACTTATTTCTATATCCCAAGGCAAAGGCATAATTTAAAAAGCAAAGAATATATGTCCTGACAACACCAAGTTATTTTTTTATAATTGTTATAACTTGATTATAATTGAGTTTCACGGTGGATATCTAATAGACTTTGATTCCCTGCGTAATGCTGGGGCCCAGAGAACAAAATAGGTCCAGTATTTAGGAATGGGGAAAGCTGAGTAGCAATGCATTCAGATTTAGCAGTGGAGTTATAGTCATATCTTGCTCAGTTTGGTATCTAAGCTTCAAGCAGGATGTTGAAAACTGGAAAGTGTTCAGAGAATAACCACGAGAATAATGGGAAATCATGTTTTGTACAAGAAAATTCAAGGAACTTGTTCTTTTTACTTCATCAAATGAAAAGTTAAGGGGTGGTTGTGTCAGATTTCCATTTACAAGGATCCATATAAAAAGGTTTTTTTTTTTCCAGTAGACATAGATATAGCAAGACTCAATGGCTGGAACTTTAAGGCTTCAAAATAACGCAGAGATTTTTAGCAGGGAAGAGGATCAAGTGTTGAAAAAAGGTAATGTAAAAATTTCTCATCACAGGGTCATAAAATGAAGATGAATAACGCTTCTGCTTTTAAATCCAGTTTGTGATGGAAGCTGAGATGAAATATCTGCATTTTTGATATTAAAACACACACACACCAAAAAAAAAACAAAACAAACAACAACAACAAAACTTGAAACCTAGTTCAGCTTTCAGTTAACTATTTTCAATGCATTGGGTCCTTTTTTTTTCAAAGTTTGCTGTAACTTACTATTTTATTTCCTGTACCACTTGCGTTCAGTTATTCTTTTGTATGCTGCATAGAAAAAGCCTTGGTTAGTCTACCTTAGAAAGCATGCAAGAGAGTTTATATTAACAATACTCTTATTATGATTAAAACAACTTATAGTTCATTCCTGCAAAAATGTCCTTGCAAAATAAATAAATAAATAAATAATAATTAAACAACAACAAAAAAAAAAAAAAAAAAAAAAAAAAAACACAGAAAATACTGCTGAGTTAAGAAGTCTCTTAACACTTACTGACTGGCATAAAATTTCTCTGCATAAATATGGCTCAGCATTTTATTCTGTGAAGAATCCAGGCTGTGACCGATTCCCTATATAAAAAGAACCACTCCGGGCACATCTCTCAGGAAGCAGACTGGCACAGGAAGATTCAAAACACTTTACAATTAACCAGAACATTTTCTAAGGCAGTATTTTTCTCACTTCAGAGTGTGGCTATGTGATGTCACATTGTCACCATGCTAGCAAGAAAAGTTCCTCAATCTGCTCTGTGGTCCATACCTCAAAATTTCCACTGAGCATGAGGTTCAGCCATAGTTTCTTTTTACATTCTTTACAAGTGAAGCAAGACATTTTTTGAAAAGCTTATTAGCTATGCTGAGTTCTCTTAATGCATAAAGAATGCCAAAGAGAAGTTCTCTAAACCATTCAAAAGACACAGAATGGCAGATACAATCCAAAAATCAAGCATATTTCACAAGCTTGTATGCAATATTGTAGCTATAATTATGAAATTAAAGAAACAGCAATCAAAAAAAAAATATCAAAAGATATTCACTTTATCAGTACAAATTGCTTTTGTACTGCTTTTGTTACCTCCAACAGATTCTGTAACAAATATGCTCCTTCATAAATAAAATGCAATTATATTTCATTCCTGATTTTACAAACTTTCCTTGGCACTAGAATATAAAATATTTTGTTTCCTTTAATTTTAAGTAGAATGTATATAATGAATATTCTGTAGTTTGGCATCTTATCATTGGACATGTCTGCAAACTCCAGGACAGATGCAAAGGGCTGCACCTTTGGAAGGAGTAACCTCTTGCAATGATAAACACAGGGGGTTTATTAGCTGGGGAGCAGCTTTGCTGAAAAGGTCCTGTGGATCTTCATGGACAGCAAGCTGAACCTAAGCCAGCAGCATGCCCTGGCACTAAAGGCCAACAGCATCTTGTCCTGTATTAACTGGAACATACCTAGTAGAATGAGAAAAATCACTATTCTTGAGCAATTTCTCATTACTTATACAATAGTGTGTCCAGTTTGGGGCCTCCCGATGCCAGAAAAACATTAGCAAATAGCAGAAGGCTCAGTGGAGGGCCACCAAGAGGGCTGAGGGATTGACCTCTTTTCTGGAGAGGAGAGACTAAAGAAACTGGGCTTGTTCAGCCTGGAGAAGAGCAGTCTTTGAGGGAATTTAACAGTAGTTTTACAACACCTGTGATACAGTTATCAGAAAGATGGAGTCAAACTCTACTGCGGAATATGGCAGGAGGACATGAGAAAATGGGCATAATTTGAAACATGCCTCATTCTGAGCAGACATCATCTGAGCTGATGAAAGTCCTACAGTGGAACAGGTTGCCCAGAGAGGCTCTGCAGTCTCTGTCCTTGAAGTTTTTCAAGACCTGACTGCATAAATGAACATGTTATGCTGACTGCACGCTGCTGATGCTTGAGAAGGAGATTGGACTAGATGACCTCTGGATGTTTCTTCTGAATTATTGTCATGTTTATTATTTTCAGGTATACCATGCAAAACGATTGACTTCACTGACATTGCAGAAGCATAACTAATGGGCTCTTAATATGTAGTTCTCCTGGAGATGAAAATTGTTAAGAGTCCTATAGAGTGTTATTTCTTTTCTTATTAGCACCATAATGAGAGGAGTGAAAAAGTGAATATACATCTTTTCTTTACTCGGATCAACAGGTATGACTTTGGCTATCTCCAGGTAGCACCACTGTCATGCAGAAATGTCATCTTCCACTGTCACTTTTAAGTGTATGCTCAATTTCATCCCTGGCTTTTCTATATATGCATTATGTAATTTATGAATAATTTGTATCTAGAAGTTGATTCAATAAAGTTAGAGTAAATAGAAGTAAAACACCACTACCGACATTTTGTTTAGGAGCATTCATTTTGTAAAGGTAAGGGTAGTTTCCTGACCTATGAATATTCTATTCATAATTTTAAAATTCTCTCAAATATTTTGAATTTCATAGAATCATAGAATCATAGAATATCCTGAGTTGAAAGGGAAGCACAAGGATCATCGAGTCCAGCTCCTGGCACCACACAGGTCTACCCGAAAATTCAGACCATGTGACTAAGTGCACAGTCCAAACACTTAAACTCCGACAGGCTTGGTGCAGTGACTACATCCCTGGGGAGCCTGTTTCAGTGTGCGACCACCCTCTCAGTTTCATTTTCTTTGTTTTCTGTAGTAACATTACATTCAAGATTTCTTACTTTCATTTCTCATGTGCAGCATCTTCAGATATCCATGTACTTCTGAATAGGTGGTCTTTGACTTAGCAATTTTGTCTGATAGACCTCTGGCTCATGGCCTTGCTCCTTTAGCATAATTCAATGTTTGTCTGTAATTATCTCCCAGTATGAATATCATGCCTGTTAAAAAATAGCAGCAGTACCTGCCAGTAGCAAAAATGTGCCATGCCCACTTCAAAGTTTAATTTAGGTAAAGACTTTGGTTTTCCTCTTTTATATTTCTCATAACAATAGTTCATATTTTCTTTGTTTCAAATATGTGTATATATGTGGACTGAACAAACCAAGGGACCTCAGCCACTCCTCATACATCTTGCCCTCCAGATCCTTCACCATCTTTGTAGCCCTCCTTTCAACATTCTCTAATAGTTTTATGTCCTTCTTATATTGTGGCATCCAAAGTTGCATACAGCACTGGAGGTGAGGCCACACCAGTGCAGAGCAGAGCAGGACAATCCCTTCCCTCAACCAGCTAGCAGTGCCATGCCTGATGCACCCCAGGGTGTGGTTGGCCCTCCTGGCTGTCAGGGCACACTTGTTTATCTCATGTTCAATTTGCTGTTGACCAGAAGCCCCAGATCCCTTTCTGCAGACTGCTTGCTGGCCTCTTGACACGCAGTCTGTACTTACAGCCAGGGTTGTCCTGTCCTACATCCAGAATCCAGCACTTGCTCCTGTTAAACTTCATATTGTTGGTGATTGCCCCGCTCTCTCATTTGTCAAGATCTCTCAGCAAGACCTCTCTAACCCTGAGGGAGTCAACCGCTCCTTCCAATGTAGTGTTGTCTGCAGACTTAGCTCCTATGCATTCAAGTCCTGCATCCAGGCCATTTATGAAAGCATTAATGAGAACTGGCCCTAAAATGAAGCCCTGTGGAACCCCACTGGTGACTGCCTGCCTGCCCCATGTAACCCCATTTATTAGAACCTTGTGAGTCTGACTCGTCAGCCAATTGTTCACCCGTTGTATTATGTAGTTGTCTATCTGCATGCTGGACATTTTGTTCGGAAGTGTACTGTGAGAAACGTGATCAAAAACTTTGCTGAAATCCAGAATGATTACATTGACTGGCTTCCCTTGGTCAGCCAGGTGGGTGACCTTGTCATAAGAGGAAATTAAGTTCATTTAGCAGAATGCACCCCTCGTGAACCTGCATTGGCTGTGAGCAACAACTGTTGTCTTTAAGTGTGTTTCAATAACTCCCTTAATAATCTTCTGGGATTTTTATGGGCATTGTAGTGAGACTGACAGGCCTGTAATTAGTGGGGTCTTCCTTCTTACTCTTCCTGAAAACTGGGACAACTTTTGCCGGTTTCCAGTCAACTAGGACCTCTCCAGTTTTCTAAAACCATTGAAAAATAATTGAGAGAGTTCACAATGATGAGTACGTGGGATGAATTGTGAGTACGCTGGGATTAATTGACCACAAAAAAAAAACTTTGTGGTACCACGACAGCTTCAGGTAGTATATGTTGGACTTGATTTAGCATTGTATTTTCATTTTTAGCACCGTAATGATTAATAGTGACACAATGAATAATGCCTTTTTTTTTTCTTCTTCTTCTTTTTTCTTTTTAAACTGGGCATGTCATTCACATTGTTACTGGGAGGAAGCCTGAAAGGGAAAAAGGATGGTCTTGTGGTTAGAGTTCTGTAATAAGGATATGTCTACTTTGTGAAGTGTAATTCAATATAGAGGTGTCAAAGCTGGCTTTAAATAGGTTAATTAGTTAGTTCAGGCACTGGAAGCAATCCTGCTACAACAGAGGCTGGTAATTTACTGTAATGTCATGGCTAAATTTAGAGCACCTGAACTTCGTACTTCATACTATGTTAAGCAGGCATAGATTCTTTGGAGACAAAAATCAGTTTTCTGAAAAATGCTTCTCATCTTTTCATTCTTACATTAGATAATAGAGGGTATTAGCTTATCTCGGGATAAATGGGGTTGCCATGAATCCATAGCATTTTTTTTCCTTATTTTTAGATTTACATGTATTACTTCATGTTTTCTGCATAACACTTTTAACAACAATTAACTTTTACTTTAAAGGAAATATGTTTTCAGTACCTCAGCCTATTTGGCTTTTTTTTTTTCTCCCTTACCACTTCCTTTAAAATCTGTTGAATTAGATGAGCCCTCTGAGGCTTAGCCTATGGCATATTTTCACCTCTTATTACCTGAATTACCTAGACTACTTGATAGCTTTCTCTTTTCCTCAAGCAAACTATCCTAGTTTGAATTGACCTTTCTTCAGTCTAGAACTAAGGCAAAAGAGAAAAATCTTTCTGTTACTTCCTTGTTGCCATGTTCAATAATAAGTCCAAAGGTTAAAATGTAGGACTCCTTAAAAATCCAAAGCTGAGCAAAGGAAGGGCTAGGGTGGCTTCTCAGAAACAGATGAATTAGAAGTAAGAAACAGATTTCCTCCGCTCTACCACTACCCACATCTGAACATACAAACAACAAAAACAATGGTAAGGTAAGGAACAAAATGAGGACAAACTCAAACTCAAACTCAAACTCAAACTCAAAAAAAAAAAAAAAAGCTGGTAGTCAGATAAAATCAAAGAGATTGTTTCCTACCTGCAGTTTGTTTTGGACCATTTATATTCATAGGGTGATTTCTTGTCTCTACTAAAATCAGTGGACTGTTTGTTATTCATTTCATACTAAGCCAAATTTTCACCTGGATATTTTATTTTTGATTGTGAGAGACCTCATCCTAGAGTACCCCATAAAAAGTATTTACAAAATACTTTTACATATTTATAAAATTTACAAAAAGTAATTGCTCTGTTTTTTAGAAAAGTGTCCATGTATGATTGCAAGAGATAAGAGAAAGA